GGGGTACTTACTGTGTGTGTGCACAGGCATGATATAATGTGTTTAGGAGGGGTACTTAGTATGTGTGCACAGGCATGATATAACATGTACAGCAGGGTACTTACTGTGTGTGTGCACAGACATGATGTAACATGTATAGGAGGGGTACTTACTGTGTGTGACAGGCATGTTTCAGATACCCATTTACATGACACGTATGCACAGGGCTCCCGTCCAGGCGCGGGCCCTGAGCCAGACGGCGACGCTGCGTGGAAAGGGCCTGGAGAGAAAGGGCGAGGCGGCCGAGGCGCCGCCTGCATGCTGTGCGGGCCGCCTGCTGGGGAGGAGGCACCGAAGTAGAAAACTCGCGGGTTAGTCTTCACTTCCAGGAACTCATGAGTGAGCCGCTGAAGCCCACAGACGCAGCTTAGGCGCCATCCCGGGCTGGCCGGGGGCCCCGCCCTCGGTGTCCGTCCAGGCCGTGCATCGCTGGGCCTTCCCACCTGAGTCCTGATGCCCCTGGAGCAGTGGGAGAGCTCACGCTGCCTAGGAGTGTAGGACGCATGTTATTAGGCTGTTGAAGTTTGGCAAGTTAAGGTCTGTTTAGCTAAAGTGGTGAGAATGAGGCTGTGTCCATATGGGCACTCTGTGAGGCGACAAAAGGGCTGAGTGGGCGCCACGGGGGCCATAAGAGCAGACCCTGGAGCGCTGGCGGTCAGCAGGCCAGGACCAGGGAGTCCCTGCCTCAGCCTCGCCTGCAGGGTCCTGCCACTGCCACCGCGTGCTGGCCTCCGAGGCCGGCCGGTCAGGTGGGCCAGTGGGCAGCACTTCCTCTGCGTCCCTAGGAGTTCCGTCCCTGCCCCCGGCCTCCAGGCAGTTCCTCCTGTCCTCACCCACCCCGGATGGGGCCTCTGCCTGGACAGCCTCCCGTGGCTCCGAGTGTGGTGGTCATGCCTTTGCCTCCCGGCCAGCCCCTCCCCAAGACGCTGACGGTTGCCATGGTGCGGCTAATTTCCCTTCCCTGACGGCGAGCAGCCTGCGGCCGCGGGCCCAGCACCGCACATCGACCCTACCCTTGTCTCAGGAGGCCCAGCTCATCCAAGAGGAGTGTCTGCCCCATCTCCCCTCTGCGCTCCTCTCCCCTGAGCCTTGGTTTACCATCTCCGCCGTCTGTGCGCCTGGCTCGGAGCAGGCCCTAAGGGCGGCTGAGCTGTATTTGCTGCAGCTCCGACCGCTGCCCCGCACAGTGGCTGCTCGTGGGCCCAGCCGCAGGCTGTCGGCGAGGCCGTCCTTGGGGCCCCGGGTGTCAGGTGCCATGACAATGCCTTTAGTGGCTCTTCATTTCCTCCTTCCAGCAGCAGCTTGGTGTTGTTTTTCATTAACACGTGAGCGCCATGTCAGTCACCGGTGACTATACTTTCCGTCCTTAAAGACCCGTCGGAAGCACACGCTGCAGGCGCTGACTCCTCTGTGGAGGGAGAGGCTGGCAGCATTGCCTGCGCCTTGGGGCAAGCGGTCACCCTCACCTCCGGGTGGCCTGTTGCTCTGTGCTCACAGGGAGGCCTGGAGTGCGGGGGAGGTGCTCCGCCAGCCCACCCTCTGCTGGGCCACGGCAGCCCGGGGCGAGCCACTTCGGCCGTGCTGTGGTCTCCGCGGGAGGAGGGAGGAGCTGCCAGAGCCTGAACCTCGGGGAACATTCTCCCCCGGCTCCTGCAGACCAGCCCCCCGCCCCCACCAGGGGAGTCTCATCCCAGCTGCTGACGCCCGCACTGCTGGCCGACGAGCGGGGAACTGCAGGGCGCCTGCCTCACGCCTGGGCATGTGGAGGAGGGACTGCTCTTCCTCCCTGAGCCGCCAGGACGTTGCTCGCGTGTAACTGCACAAAAGCAGAACTTCCTCATTACTGCCTTCTGCTCTCAGATACGGACACCTTTTCCTGCTCCATGGGAATAAAAAGAAAGTTTTGAAAAGTCTGTCATCCATTTGCCCTATTTCAGTGAAAATAAAAAGATGATACCCAAACTCTAGAACAATGGCAGCAGTATAATGATTGGATCTGCGGCAATTCCTATAAAAAAATTAAACACTCGTGGACAACACCTGACAGGATTTGGTGACCAGACATCCCCACCAGCCCCACACGCAGGTGGGGCCCCCAGCACCGTCGGCTGCCGTGTTTCCATGGAGAAAACATCAGGCTCAGGACGGACCTGGAGGAGGAGCGCCAGAGGCTACCGCCCCAGGGAGCGCGGGGAGCAGGGGCCACGAGAGATGGGGTGCGCGGCCTCGGGGCTGTGGGCTGGGCCCCGGCTGAGAGCTGTCCCCGACGTGCCAGGACCGGAGCCCAAATGCAGCCGAGAGCCAGCGGAAGGAGTCGGTTCCGGTTCAAGGGGCAGAGGGCACGGCCTGTTTTCCTAATTTAGGTGAAAACAACAGGGAATCGGGAAGGTGGAAATGCTGCTGAGCTGAGCGTCCTTTTAAAAACTCAGGGAAACAAGTTCACATAAGAATCACGAACAAGCATATCAAGGTCGACGCCATTGGCATTTCCATAAGAGAGGCCACCGCGTGCTGGCCTCCGAGGCCGGGAGGGCATGCGGCAAGAAACATGTCAGAGACAGACCGACCACAGGCACAGGGTAACATTTCGTAAATGAGCTAAACTATTTAAGATGATGTAAAGCATGAAAGAGGAAATTAGAATTATGGAAATTCAGAAACAAAGTAACAGAATTCAGGAAAGACTCTAAATTATTTTAGAAGTAAAAACTAAACTAGAAGAAATACAGGAAAAAATAAACCTCATAAAATGCCTGAAAAGTAGGGAAAGTTTTAAAATGAAAAAGAAATATAGCAAGAGACAAAAGGGATTCGAAAGTGACAAATATCGAAGACAGGCAAAGAAGAGATTCCATAAGACGGAGGGGCTCTTGGCAAACCAAACCAGCCGGACAGGGGGCCCACGACGCCTGTGTGGTGGGGAGAGCTTTGGCTTCCCTGGGGAAACGGTCCCATGTGGGTGGACGCCCCACACCTCTTGGCCTGTGGCCATTGCACATCCCACCAACCCCCATGGAGCACCCCACCCCCTCCCTTCCTCTTGGGGGTTTGCACTGAAAGCCCAGGAAAGGGTTCTGGCCTGAAACCAGGCGTGTCCACCTGGACCTTCTCATGACTGCCCTGGTGCGGGCTGCACGCTGAGTCACCACCCAGCCCAGGCGCCTGGACAAACTAAACTTCTGGGCATTGTGGGCCCTAGAAAGTAGGCAAGGCTGCCTGAGGAGAAGGCCCAGTGCAGGAGCCCCCCCCCCCCCCCCCCCGCGGGGCCTGGGCCGTGGCAGTGACGTCACAGCGGACGACCACGGGGAACTAGGCTGTCAGAGGCCACTGTCAGAGCGGCTTTCTTGTCCTGCTTCCCTCACACCCACGCCTGTTTGCTTTTGCAGCCTCTCAGACGCTTTAATGACGGCGTGTGATCTTCAGGCCCTTTATTTGAGAGCTATTTTTGTCTCCACGCACCGGTAGGGGAGCTGGGACCAGCACTAAGGGTCACGGCATCCTTCGGCTGGGGGAAGGTGGTGTCCCTGGACTCCAGAGCCCCCACTGTTGCCGGCCCCTCGGAGCAGGCGCTCCCGGGGTGTGCCGAGATG